GGCAAACAGTACTGGTAAGTCTAAGATACACTTTAAATAAGTTGTCAGCATTGTTTGATGAGTTGAAGGACGGTTAATATAGCTTAATTTGGACAATGGAGTATTTCCTTCAGATTTTATGTAGGTATAGGTTGAACCTCTGAAGTGTTGCTGGATCAGAGAGCCTCGGCAGCTGGGAGTGGAAGTCCCATCCCTGGGGAGCCTGGCAGGACAGCATTGGGACTGATGAGCCCTAGCTGGGTGGAGTAGCAGCAGGATCAGCGAATCCCATCCCCAGCTGGGCAGGGCAGCAGTAGAGCAGCCAGTGGTAAAAGTAGGGCAGCTAGCAAGCCCCGTCCTCAAGGATTCCCAGTTGGGTGTGGGGAGAAGCAGGGTTGCTACAGTTGGGAAACTCTGTCCCCAGGAAGCTTCCATGGGTCAGAGCCCAAGTCTTGCAGGCTGGAGCCCAGTGGCAGTGGGGCTGGAGCAGAGCCAGACACGAGGAGGAGGGGAACATCCTGGGAGGCCAGTGGCAGGGACTTCCCCTGGTGGGGCAAATTCCCTCCTTTGGGACAGGTTAGGTGCCAGACAAGGGAGGTCCAGCATGTTATTGTATGAGTTCTATTTTCTGTCCTGGGTGAGATGGCCTAGTATGTTGTATTATTTTCTAGGCACTTCAGTACTAGAAAGATGCTGACAAACTGAATCAGAAAGATCAACAGAAATGAATGAAGGCAATATTGCTGTAGGAGGAGAAAAGAGGAGCAAAAGATTTGCAGTTGGATTAGAAGGGAGATGCTAAAAAATTAGTATTTAAAGGGTATAAACATGAAGGAAGAATTGTTCAGGGTGGTATAGGTGATGTAATTAAAATTAAATAAAAATAACACCAATAAACTAGGGATGTAAAAGAGTAGTCGACTACCTGATATAGAGGCTGGGGGAGAGAGGGAGGGCGGTGAAGGAGCCAGTGTTGGGGGAGCTGACTTAAAAGCCGGTTCTCCCCCCCCCACCACCTCCAAGGTGCTCCCTGCCC